AGGGAGGAGAAAGGGGAGAGGGAGGAAGGAGAAAAGGGAGGGAGAGAAGGAAAGAAAGAAAAGAATAGCAATTGTTTAAATCTAGCTTCCCCTTTGCCAATTTAAACCAATAATTTAGTTCAGAGTAAGACAAAAACGATCCCCCTTTAAAACTCTCTCCATTGCATTCACAATATTTTAATTAAAAAAAGCACATCCGTTATACCATTTACTGGCCTACTTAAAAAGGATTTCCCATACGAGAATACCAGCAGCATCAAATAACTGATGACAAACTTAAATTAATCTTTAAAAAAAAAGACTTGAGTGGGTAAAGTTAACAGCCTCATACAAAACACCAAATTATCACATGTATTAAGTTTCAGTTCCCTTGCTCCTGTGGTTTTATTTTTGGGGCATGGCAGGACCACAAGTCATTTCACAGATGACACCCTCCCATCTACACAGGCAGACAAACACACAAAAGAGCAGCATGGTTTTGAAAACCTGCCCTTCTAATGGAGGCAAAGATTAAAAATAATTAAACGGTAAATTAAATCTCATCATCATTGAAAGGGCTCAGGCAGCAGAAGCCCTTTAACTGTACACCAGTATTTCCCAACCTCAGCGCCATGAAACGGTGTGGACTTCCACTCCCAGAATTCCAAACCCAGCATGCTTTAAAATGGGGTGGACTTCAATTCCCAGAATTCCCCAGCCAGCCATGCTTCAAGATGGGTGGATTTCAACTCCCAGAATTCCTCAGCTGGCATACTTTGAGATTGGTGGACTTCCACTCCCAGAATTCCCCACCCAGCATGCTTTAAAATGGGTGGACTTCGATTCCCAGAATCCCCCAGTCAGCCATGCTTTAAGATGGATGGACTCCAACTCCCAGAATCCACCAGTCAGCCACGTATTAAAGTCCACCCATCTCAACGCTTGCTGCCTAGGGAATGTTGGGAGTTGAAGTCCACACGGCGTCCCGTTGCTGAGGTCGAGGAACACTATTGCGTGCAAAACAAAACCGAGCCGTTCTTGTTCCAACACTCCCGCATATCGCAGGAAGTCGCAGGGGTAGTCCTTGACTTACGACCAGTCACCGTTCCAAATTACCACAAACCTCTCCAAGGGTTACCGAACACCCAGTTCTGAAGTTGCAAAAGCCAGTCCCCCCAACATGGTCAAGTGAACGGATTTTAGGTGCTTGTCCATCAGCTCGCATTTACGGCCCTTTGCAGCGTCTCTTGGCCACACGACAGGTATTATGACATTTCTGCCCACCTCCAAAAATTTACTTCTTCTAGTTTTTGGCCAAGCCAGCCCTTGCCAAATGACTGCTTTGGGGGGAAAAAACACCACCAAAGCAGGCTGACCACATGGGGTGACCCCCTCCTCCCGTTTCCCACCGTCAATGACTTAGTCGAAATGGACGGTCGTAAGTCGCGGACTACCTTGAATATGAACCTCCTGGCCGCTTGTTTCCCACTGAACAGCGCGATGTGTGTGTGCTGTTCCGGACAGATCAAAGACCTACTGGCTGTCCAGGTGACCTCAAACGTAGGTCGGCGATGTGTTCAGGTTATTCACCGCCAGGTGACGGCTGCTACCGCCGCTGTTGCTCCCTTTGGGGTAGTTAGGAAAATCCTCGTTCCTGCAGAGGACGTAACGCGACAGGATCTTCCGGAACGTATACCGGAAGTCCTGGATACGGTAAGCGTAAATGATTGGGTTGACCACCGAGTTGGTGTGGGAGAGGATGATGGTTAGATACATCATCCAGTCCCGCTTGCTCTTCGCGAAGGTGGGGTAGAAGAGAATCAGGCAGTTAAGGATGTGCAGCGGCAGCCAACAGAGGGCAAACAGGCCCACAATGATGGCCAGCGACTTGGCGGCGCTGAATTCCTTCTGCAGCGTCATCCGGCAGTTGTCCACCAGTTCGATCTGCCGCAGCTGCTTGCAGGCCACGGCGAAGATCTTGATGTAGATGCAGAGCATGATGAAGAGGGGCAGGAGGACGCAGCCGAAGAAGTTGAAGTACACCATGTAGCTCATGGGCACCACGTTCTCGAAGAGGCAGGTCACCCGGCAGTCCCCGCTGGGCCCCTGCGTCTCGTTGGTGCAGTTCTGAACGGCGTCCATCTTGTTCCAACCCATCAGCGGCATCAGGCCGATGATGAACGAGAGGAGCCAGAGGACAGCGATGAGTCCGCGGGCTCGCTTCCCCGTCACCAGGCTCTTGTATCTGCAAGAAGAAAGCGGGGGGACGACAAGAAAAAATGGGGTCACACAAATGGGGGGATAAGATCACCTTTTGTCCCTCGGGGAAGGATGGTTGGGTAGAGGGGGTCCTCGAATGAGGAGCACGAGGGAGCCCCGAATTTCTCTTGTTTAAGGGAGAGACTTGTTAAGGGCTTTTTGGCCCCTGTTATATGGTTTTTCTCACCCCAGTTAATAGTGAATCGCTGTTGTGGTTAAGTTGGTAACCCGGCGGTGAAGTGAAATCTGGCTTCCCGTTGGCTTTGCTTGTCAGAAGGTTAGAAGAATTAAGAATAGGATAGGATTTAAATGGGATGGAATGGAAGGGAACGGAACAGAATAAAATAAAGAAGGAAGGAAGGGGGAGTAGAACATAGTAGAGTAGAATAGGAATAGGAATAGTATAGAAATAGTATAGAAATAGAACAGGAATAGAATAGTATAACAATAGAAGAGAATAATAAGAATAGTATAATAATCGAATACAATAATAATCGAATAGGATAGGGAAGGTAGGAAGGAAGGAAGGGAGGGGAGGAAGGAAGGAAGGAAGGAAGGAAGGAAGGAAGGAAGGAAGGAAGGAAGGAAGGGAAGAAAGGTAGGAAGAAGGAAGGAAGGGAAGGAAGGAAGAGAAGGAAGGAAGGAAGGGAGGGGAGGAAGGAAGGAAGGAAGGAAGGAAGGGAAGAAAGGTAGGAAGGAAGGAAGGGAGGGGAGGAAGGAAGGAAGGAAGGAAGGGAAGAAAGGTAGGAAGGAAGGAAGGAAGGAAGGAAGGAAGTAAGGAAGGAAGGAAGGAAAGGAAGGAAGGAGAATAGTAGAATAGAAATAGAATAGTATAATTATAGAATAGATAGAAGATTAGAATAGAATAGCATAGCATAGAATAGAATAGAATATAGGATAGGATAGGATAGAATGAGCTGGAAGGGACCATGGAGGTCTTCTAGTCCAGCCCCCTGCTCAAGCAGGAGTCCCTATACCATTTCAGACAAATGGCTGTCCAGTCTCTTCTTAAAAGCCTCCAGTGATGGAGAACCCAGAAATTTCTGGTGGCCAGCTGTTCCACTGGTTAATTGTTCTCACTGTCTGGAAATGTCTCCTTAGTTCCAGGTTGCTTCTCTCCTCGATCAGTTTCCATCTGTTGCTTCTTGTCCTGCCTTCTGATGCTTTGGAGAATAGGTGGACCTCTCCCTCACAACAATTCGTTTAGCGACTGCTCAACGTCACAACAGCAACTGGAAAAAGTGATTTATGACTGTTTTTCCACCCTTATAACCTTTCGCAGCATCTCCATACTTATGACAGTCGAGGTGTCCCTGGGGTCACGTGATCCCCTTTTGCGACCTTCCGACAAGCGAAATCAAGGGGGGAAAGCCAGTTCCATTTAACAACCAGGGTATTAACTGAAGAACTTGCAGCGATTCACTTAACAACTGTGGTGAGAAAGGTTGTAAAACGGGGCAAACTCACTGAACCAATTTCTCACTGAACGGCATCAATATTTGGCTCCATGGGGGGGGGGGGGTATAAGTCCACGATTGTTTTTTTTCTCTTTTCTCGTGGGGACAACAGAAGAGGAGGTCAACCCCAGCAGGACGAGCTTGGAGGCCGGACAAGAACAATGAGGCGATATGAGAAAACAGCAGGACAAGGGAAGGCTCACAGCAGGACGTTGGGCCTTGAATGGAAGGCGGCTTCCCTTCCCAAAATTCCACAAATTCCATAAATGTGATGGACCTGAATCTTGCACGAGTCAAAAAGAGGGCTGTGAAAATATCTACAGACCCCTCACACATCCCGGACATAAACTGTTTCAACTCCCACCCTCAAAACGACGCTATAGAGCCCTGCACGCCAGAACAACTAGACACAAGGGGAGTTTTTCCCCAAAAGCCATCACTCTGCTAAACAAATAATTCCCTCAACATTGTCCAACTATTGACTAAGTCTGCATTACTATTACTATTAATCACTCCTTATCACCCATCCCCTCCCTCTTGTGACTGTGTGACTGTAACGTCACTTGTATCCTAATGATTTATATTGACTGTTTCCTAGTATGATTTGATTCTATTCTATTCTATTTATATCCTAATTCTATTCTAATTCTTATTCTATTCTAATTCTAATTCTATTTCTTATTCTATTCTAATTCTAATTCTATTTCTTATTCTATTCTAATTCTAATTCTATTCTAATTCTATTTATATTTCTAATTCTATTCCAATTCTATTCTAATTCTATTCTAATTCTAATTCTATTCTAATTCTAATTCTATTTCTATTTCTTATTCTATTCTAATTTTAATTCTATTCTAATTCTAATTCTATTTCTATTTCTAATTCTATTCTTATTCTTATTCCTATTCCTATTCCTTATTCTATTCTATTCTATTCTATTCTATTCTATTCTATTCTATTCCATTCTATTCCATTCTATTCCATTCCATTCTACATTTCATATATTCAATTCTATTCTATTCTATATTTCAATATTCTACTCTATTCTACTCTATTCTATTCCATATATTCTATTCTATTATTTTCTACATTCCAATATTCTATTCTATTCTATTCTATTCTATTCTATTCTATCCTATCCTATCCTATCCTATCCTATCCTATTCTATTCTATTCTATTCTATTCTATTCTATCCTATCCTATTCTATTCTATTCTAAACAGGAATGCTGAATATGATGGAAAAGTTGCTATCCCATCCTATCTTCAAGAGCTGCAAGTCGGCCTAAACAACTCCTCCTCACAACATCCCTGTGAAGTGATAAGCAGCACATAAGTCTAAAATGATACTGAGGTGGCTAATACAAGCAATCCTCGTCTTAAAAACCATTCGTTTAGTGACTTGCAACAGTACATTTCGTGACCGTTCGAAGTTATAGCAGCACTGAAAAATGTTCACTTAGGACTGTTGTTCACACTTATGACCGTTGCAGCATCTCCCAGGGTCAGGTCATAAAAATTCAGATGCTTGGCCACTGACTCATATGACCGTCACAGCAAACAAAGTAAACCAGATTCACTTAACAATCCTGTGACTAACTTAACAACTTAAAGCATGCTGGCTGGGGGATTCTGGGAGTGGAAGCCCACCCCTCTTAAAGCATCCTAGCTGGGGGATTCTGGGAGTGGAAGTCCACCCCTCTTAAAGCATCCTAGCTGGGGGATTCTGGGAGTGGAAGTCCACCCCTCTTAAAGCAGGCTGGCTGGGGAATTCTGGGAGTGGAAGTCCAGCCCTCTTAAAGGATGCTGGCTGGGGAATTCTGGGAGTGGAAGTCCAGCCCTCTTAAAGGATGCTGGCTGGGGAATTCTGGGAGTGGAAGTCCAGCCCTCTTAAAGCAGGCTGGCTGGGGAATTCTGGGAGTGGAAGTCCTCCCCTCTTAAAGGATGCTGGCTGGGGAATTCTGGGAGTGGAAGTCCTCCCCTCTTAAAGCATGCTGGCTGGGGAATTCTGTGAGTGGAAGTCCAGCCCTCTTAAAGCATGCTGGCTGGGGAATTCTGTGAGTGGAAGTCCAGCCCTCTTAAAGCAGGCTGGCTGGGGGATTCTGGGAGTGGAAGTCCACCCCTCTTAAAGCAGGCTGGCTGGGGGATTCTGGGAGTGGAAGTCCTCCCCTCTTAAATCAGGCTGGCTGGGAGGTTCTGGGAGTTGGTTATTACAGCTTAGTTGTTCAGGTATAGGAACATTGATCTACTCTCTGGATGCACATAGATGCAAAAAAAAAAAAAAAATCAAGGTTGTTAACACACCACAAAACACCTTAATATTTTTGAGGTGGAGGCTTACAATTTATTGATGGGGAGCCTTGTGTATTTCCACCAAGTGCAACTCTTGTTTTTCACTTGCTTCATCTATGGATGGAGCCATGCCAGCAAAACACCATTAGAGAGAAAAACAACTTGAGAGAGACAGAAATTCGAAAGGCCATTTGCCAATGGCGCCTGGAAATGGCTACTGCTGGAGGACGGATGGAGTGAGGAAGAAAGAGTAAGAAAAAAAAAAAAACTTAAGAAAAGGGTGTAATTGCCCAGCTGCTACCGGCGTTTTCACATTTAGTTAAATGGCACTCAAGCCAGCTTAGGGTGTGGGGTAGACTTTCCTTAGAGAAAAAAAAACAACTTCTGAATGACAAACCTTTTCATTTTGTAGGGAGAAAAGAGAGAGGAAAAAAAAAAACCTCCTACTTCTTTGCTTTTTCAAGGAAGCTCGCCGGCCCTATTCAAGGGCCCCAGGGTGCTTCCTGTGCACCCCAAATTTCCATGGGAACCGGCCCCCACAATTTCCACAAAAGTGCAAGCAGCCAAACCCAGCTTGAAAAGAAAGATTTAAAAGCCGCCTCTCTCTCTCTCTCTCTCTCTCTCTGAATTCATTTAGTTGCTTTCCCACTTTGATCCAAATTGAGGGCAGGGTCTTTATTGCAAATGGGGTACAAAGGAAGCGAGGGCTCTTCTAGCTCGCATTAAACCCACTCATGGGAATTTAAACCTTTGCCACCCCCCAAGCCACCTTGGAAATGTCAGGTCAGCTTTGCAAACCCCCGCGCAGCCCGTCTCAAGGCAGCCGAGCTGAACAACAATTTGCTCTGTTTAGAATAATATTTTCCAACCACAGCGATCAAGTTATCGCTGAGTGAGTAAGGGAGGGGAAAAACGTGCTTTGAAAAAGAGAGGGCATCCTTTCTTTTTTTGAAGTTTGTTTTCACGGTAGAAGGAAACGAAAGAAAGGCTTTACATTAAAATAATGACAATGATAAGAATAGGAAGGAAGGGGGGGAGGAGGAAGAGGAAGGAAGGAAGAAGAATTAGGAGGAGAAGAGGAAGGAAGGAAGAAAGAATTAGAGGAGGAAGAGGAAGA